CTTAATTTTTTTTTCAACAGTCAATTACAAGAAAATGGCTCAGTAGATTTTCACCTAAAACTAATCAGTATCATTCCCAAATAATATATTCCAACCAGTTTTTGATTTTTTTAAATCGATTTGGTAGTATGAGCTTAAATGTGGACGAAAAGTTTTTTCCAAAGAACACTTTTTTCCAAATTACAAAGAAACGGCTCGACCGATCGCTGTACGGAACTGAGAAAAGATAATCCACATCAAAATACATCGATTGGCTTTTAAATTTTTGAAATCGGTCCAGGCGTTTTTAAAAAATCGTCGATTTACGGCAAAAAAGCTGTTCACATACAAACACACACACACACTTTTTCCAAATTTGGTCTCATTCGATTCAGAATGGCTTGAAACATCGAGAAAACTTGAAATTAGCGAATCGGATTTTTTTATGAAAACATAAACTTCTCCTTCGGGAAGTTAAAAACAGATCTTTGGTATGTATATACGAGTATACTGACTTTTTAATTTATTATCGAAAATAAAAAAAAACGAAAGAAAAAAATATGATACTTGCCATGATCAGGTAGTGGAGGCTTAGGAAGTGGTTTAAGAAATGGCTCCATTTGCGAATGGTTTAAACTACTTTGTACTTGTTGATTTGTTTGGTCAAATATAGTATGTGTAGAAGGCTCTGGGTGATATACATGTTGGCAGTTCTTCTGCATAGGTAGAACCTAATGGAAAAATGAATATAGTAATATTTTTTAACTTGAATTATATATTATATCAACATCAAATTTAAGATTTTATATATATATATATATATATATATATATATATATATATGCCTAACATCTAAAATAATACTTGCCTTAACTATATGAGGTCCATTGTTTCCACTATAAGGTAAAAGCCTACTGCTTTCTCCCATGTTAGAATTTCCCCTAATTAACATTGAGTGCTGAACATATTTTGCTGGAACACATTGCTCATAACGATGCAGGGGTTGATTCATCATTTGATGGTTTATTATTCTACCAGGTGTCACTCTGCCATAAGTTGCACCTAAAAATTGTGGTTACAAGAATAATATAAAAATGTATAAAATGACTGTGTACTAGTAAAAATAGTTTAGTAGTTCAGAAAAATTTTAAATACGGATACAAAGAAAACTAGTTGAAAGTAGCATTTTCCCTAAATGTAAGTTGCATGAATTACCCAATACGTACACATGATAAACTTCATCAATAAGAATTGGGATTTAATGTGTGTGTGTGTATGTTTGTAAGAAATTACAGAACTTCCTGACAACATGGAAAATATTGATGAAATGAGTTCAGTAATATTTTAGAAAGTTGTAAAGTAGGATATGTAACAAAAAATATTCAGTTTCGATCTTTACGTACAAAAGTAGTTGGCATTGGTATTTAGCCTTGAGGCAAGTTACATGAACTTCCCGATTTGTATAAATAATCTACTTAATCCATGATAGATAAATTAATTTATGAGTAGTTAAAAGCATTCGAAGTGGATTTATTACACATTATTGAAAATCGAACACGTCAACCCGGTTGGAGTATTTTTTAAAAGCAAATTTTTAAAAATCAATAATTTTTATAACTGAGCCAGTTTTTTGTAGGACTTTAATTGTTTAGTATGTTCATTAAGACCAAGTACTCTATCGTTATACCAAGTAAATCGTCAAAAAAGTTCCATGAAAATCGGCTTAATTTTTTTTTTTCAACAGTTAATTACAAGAAAACGGCTCGGTAGATTTTCACCTAAAACTAATCAGTATCATTCCCAACTAATATCTTTCGAACAGTTTTTAATTTTTTTAAATCGATTCGGTAGTATGAGCTTAAATGTGGACGAAAAGTTTAACACTTTTTTCCAAATTACAAAGAAACGGCCTGGCCGATCGTCGCATAAAACTGAAGAACGATAATCCTCATCGAGATCAAATCAAATGGCTTTTAAATATCTGAAATCAGTTCAGGCGTTTTTAAGCAAACGTCGATGAAAGTTCTAATTTTGACAAATGCCAAAAAGACCATTTGCAAACTTTAACGAATTTTTAAAGCTAAACGAGTTGTTGTAGGACCGTAATATTTTAGTATGATCTAGAAAAAGATGGTATCTACCGTCAAAAAAATAATAATAAAAATCGACGAAAAAAAATTTTTTAACACCTTATTACAAGAAAACGGTCCGGCCGATCTCTACCAAAAACTAATCAGCACGATTCCCAACCAATATCTTTCGAACGGTTTTTGAATTTTCAAAATCGATTCAGAATTGCGGGCTAAAACGTAGACGAAAAATTGTTCACTTTTCTGCGATTTACAAAGAAACGGTTTGGACGATCGTCGCACAAAACTCAGAAACGCAAGTCCTCATCGAAATACATCGAATGGCTTTTAAATTTTTTAAATCGGTCGAACCGTTTTTGAGAAAATACACACATACTTTTTCCAAATTTGGGCTCATTCGATTCAGAATGGCTTGAAACATCAAGAAAACATAAAATTAGCGAATCGGATTTTTTGATGAAAACATAAACTTCTCCTTCGGGAAGTTTATAATGTTAATCTAATGTTTAATATACCTGTGCTAAACTGATGGTCTTGCCTTTCAACAACAAGGTAAGTCATTGTATCCCCCTTTCCTTTAATCTTCACCATTCCTCTACATTTGAAGTTGTAATGTGTATCTCGAATAACATGAGCTACATTTTCAGTAACTTGTGTGAGACCAGCCAAACCTGTTGAGTCCATGTGGTAGGCGATATTAACAGTTTCACCCCATATGTCATATTGAGGTTTATTAGCTCCTATCACACCTGCTATTACTGGACCAATGTTTACACCTAAGAATAATAGTTATAAGTAATAAATGTTAAATAAAAAGTCTGCTTCATATTCACCTAATAATAATAACATTTAATAAAATTATTGAAAATTATAATTACCTGCTCTTAACATGAAATTTCTATATGTAGATGTATTAAATGTGAGAAGCCGAGCATGCATAGCTTGCGTAAAATCGAGAAGAATGGTAATAAATTTTCTTATTGAATTATTATCTCCATGATTAATCTTATGTTCTGGACTCAATCCCACAGCAGCCATGTATGTGGACCCAAAACATTTGATCTTATCAATTGCTCCAAAACAATCTTCTTGCAACAGCTAAAATTATCATAAAAGTTATAAGTGATAAAAGTAAATATTACATAAATAACTATTCAGAATAATACACACACACAAATATATATTTTATAACAAACCTTATCAAAATCGCATATGATTTCATTTAATTGGCGCAAACAATCAAGACCATTGGTGCTGCTTTCCATATCAGTGCAGAACTCATGGTAATCTGTCACTGTTGCAAAAAGTACTCCAACATAAGCATAGCTTTCGCAATAGAGATCCTGCACAATAAATAAAATATTATAGCAAATTATCATGGAAGTTTTTAGAAGCGGCTGAACTGTATTTCAAAGACATTGTAGATGGTGTTAAAATGTAATTCATCATTATTGAATGTAAATAAAACAATTATCAAAACAAAATTTTATATTGTTTATATAATATAAAATAATATTATATTGCTTTTTGGTTAAAACCAAAAAATGGGTTGAATCCATATACATCAAACAAAATCTTACTGTGCTTCCTGGTCTTCTTTGTTTCTCTAAATAGAATTGTGTCACATGCTGAGGTAAGAGATCATGCAATAGTCTAACACCAGACTGTTGTAAAACATTGCATCATGTCTTGCACGATTGCCTCATTTTTTCTCAAGTAACACAGTCTCATAACTCTCTCTAAACATCTTCCGTGAAGACCAGAAGCAACCAAAAAACATCAATAATTGTACCAGACTTGAAGTATGAGCTGGAACTAATGATCTGCAAAAAAAGAAATTATGTATGAAACTTGTCTAAATAAAAATATGTAGAAATATCTCTGATAAATAATAATCAAATTTGGAATAACAAAAGCTTAATTATGTTCACATAAGCAAGTATTTGCATATGTAAACTAGTTGGTTTGGTATTTAGCCTTGAGGCAAGTTACATGAACTTCCCGATATGTGTAATTAATAGACTTAATCAATAAAAAACAATTTAATTTATGAGTGATTAAAAGTATTCCGAGTGGATTTATTACATATGATTGAAAATGAACGAACACTTTGACTCGGAATATTTTCTAATAGCAAATTTTCAAAAATCACCAGTTTTTATATGATCGTTTGGTTTACTATGTTCATTAAAACCAAGTACTTTATCGTTATACTAAGAAAATCGTCTAATTTTAATTTTAACAAACGTCAAAAAAACTACTCATTTTCTTAATCTTTGATTATATTTTAAAATTAAACTACTTGTCGTAAGGCCGTGATATTTCAGTAAGTTCTATAAGACCATGATATATATCGCAAAAAAAAGTTCCATGAAAATCGGCTTAAATTTTTTTTTCAACAGTTAATTATAAGAAAACGGCTCGGTAGATTTTCACCTAAAACTAATCAGTATCATTCCCAACTAATATATTTCGAACAGTTTTTGATTTTTCAAAATCGATCCGGTAGTTTGAGCTTAAATGTGGACGAAAAGTTTAACACTTTTTTTCAAATTACAAAGAAACGGCTCGGCAGATCGTCTCACAAAACTGACAAATTATAGTCCTCATTGAGATACATCAAATGGCTTTTGAATTTATGAAATCGGTTCAGGCGTTTTTGAGAAAACGTCGATCAAAAGTTTAATTTTGTCAAATGTCAAAAAAACGATACTAATTTTTGCAAACTTTGACGATTTTTCAAAATTAAACGACTTGTCATAGGGCCGTAATATTTTAGTATGATCTACAAGACTATGGTATTTACCGTCAAAAAAAAATCATAAAAATCGTCGAATTTTTTTTTAAAAAACTTTATTGCAAGAAAACGGCCCGGCCGATCTCTACCAAAAACTAATCAGCACGATTCCCAACCAATACCTTTCGAACGGTTTTTGAATTTTCAAAATCGATTCAGAATTGCGGGCTAAAACGTGGACGAAAAATTTTTCACTTTTGTGCGATTTACAAAGAAACGGCCCGGCTGATCGTCGCACAAAACTTAGAAACGCTAGTCCTCATCGAGATACATAGAATGGCTATTAAATTTTTGAAATCGATCCAGCCGTTTTTGAGAAAACGTCGATTTACGGCAAAAAATCTGTTCACACACACACACACACACACATACACACACACACACATACTTTTTCCAAATTTGTTCTCATTCGATTCAGAATGGCTTGAAACGTCAAGAAAACATAAAATTAGCGAGTCGGATTTTTTTATGAAAACAAACTTCTCCTTCGGGAAGTTAATTAAGGTTTAAGTTTTTGTTATTCAAAATATCAACAATTATCAAGTCAATCTCTTTAAAAGTACTTTCAATTAAAGTACTTTCTTTAATATTCTATCGTCTTCACTAATTAATTACAATAATTAGATCAGAGTAGTTAATTTATTAGATTATTAATTTAGAAACATTATTTCTTTCCAAATCCAAATTTAATGTCTGAGTAATATAAATTATTGATAGAACTATCATCATGTTAACATAATATACAATGACTCACCTGACTATCGAATCATAACAATGGAATAGATCAATATGAGAGAGCTGGACAAACAATGTATAACAAATCATGATGAAGATCAAAATAGATAATTTTGCCCATAGTAATAATTTAAAAAATACAGCAACGGCTAACCCTGATAGAATGCCTCCAAGGGGTACATATATAGGGACTGGGCAAGACAAATGATCATTAACTGAATGTGCCTGAGATATTTCACATGAAGGATTGGGCAAACAAGTGAACTGAAAAATAAAATTAATTATATAATAAAAAATTATACATCAACTTTCCATATAGTAGAATGAAAGCAGGTAATAAAATCCTATTTAAACACACAAAGGATTAAGATCCAAAAAATAAGAAAAACATTCAATTTATTATTGTGATGATTACCAATCGCTAACATTATTTTAACATTTAATCAGGTATACAGACAAAGTATGTTTTTTTAACAATATAGATATAAACTGATTTCAATATAAAATCATAAATGAATAATCTACTCACCACATTCAAAATTGATACTGAGAAAACAAGTAAAACAGTAAAAATTGTCAACGCTAGTCTTAAAGTAAAACTTTTAGTAACATCCCAGAATATCCATTGTAACCTTGCTGCTAGTAATAACATCAGTAATGAAGTGACCCAGGCAAAGGCCGTTAAGAAAAGCAGTAGTAAAAATAAAGTTCGAGGTAGCATAAGGCCTTGGATACCTGCACCACAAACAACCAATATCAAGCAACACCAAAGAGATGCAGCAAACTCTGGGTCACATTCATGACGATACTGGAAAGTTACCAATAAATAAATATAATAATTCTTTGTTATTGAAACATATTTTACAAATAAGCATGTGTAACTTAATAAAAATTATAAATACCATGGCTTCATTTTGCTTATCTCGAAGACATAAAGTCAGATATCCTATCTGAGCATCGTTTTCTAAATCCAGATATTGAGCTTCTATGGCTGTTGCTAGATTTCTATCAATGCGGTTGCTTGTATGCAGATTTCTTAGAACATTGCAAGATCTTTTCTTGAAAGGTCTTAGATTTGAAACACCAGTAACCTAAAAACATATATTCTAAATTAAATTTTATTCCAAAAAAAATAATTCCTGTTTTGTTCAAATAAAAATTCAATAATGGGAATGTGAAAATATGCAGAGTAATTTTGAAATTTTGAAAAAAAATATTTATGTGCATATTAAATCATCAAAATTTACTATCAAATAAATTAAATTACCAACATTTGAAATATTTTGTTTTAAGTTTTTTTCCATCTTTCTTATTAAGGCAACTTTTAAAAAAAATGTTGAAGCTCAAATTTTATTTCAGTGAGTTAAACCTATTTCATATTCTTTGTAATTATTCTCAGTCATAATTAAAATCTTGCAACGGTTTGAAATAACAGGATTATGTATCATTCAAAATCATGAATTATAAATAATTTAAAGAAATATATCTATAGAATTATCAGATCAGACTGATTAAAAATTAGTGTCCATAGCAGTATAATATTTTCAAGTTAGTATTAATTTCCAAAATTATTTTATGCTAACATACTTTAGAAGCTGAAGAATCAGCATCAACTCTTGGTGCATTAGCACTCTCATTTTCACCGATGAAAGCAAATGGAATTTCCGCTCCAAATTTTATGTTGTGCAGTAATTGATTTATACTCGCAACTTTTCTAATAGATAATTCGTGTTTTTGCAGCGTACCCAGTGGTGCATTCATTTCCAAAGTGCATAATGCGAGCGCCTATAATAAAAATTAGTAAATTAGAAAACAGTAATGTATGGCGTAAGACCTTTAGCAAATTATTTGAACTTTCTAGGTAGATGAACAAAAGTAATATTTTTTTAATCTTTAGAATTTCGAACAAAATATTCTGCACACCAGTAACTGCGTTAAATGATAATGTTGCAAATAGGGGATAATCGTTTATCAATGTCAAAGACACAAATACTTTGAAATATCATTTGTCTCGCCACTAGGACAAACTTAAATTTTGCCTAATTTTATTTGTATAAAATGTTTTAAATTATTTATGATAGTAGTTAATTCAATCTTGAAGCATTTTGCTGCAACATACGGAAATAGTATGTTATATGTGTGCATGAATAAGAACATTGTATTTACATATGTATATAAAACTAAAATATATGTATATAAAAAGATGTTATATGCATATTTGCATATACCAGACATACGCTGATTTATATAATCAACATATTAAGTGAAACAAAGTACCTTTGTATAGTTTTTTTAATAAATTAAAACAAACTCACTTTTCTTCTGCGTGGTGGTGGGACAATATAATATGTCCCTCCTGGTGCATCTGTTACGTCATACTCGCCCGTCAACGCATCAATGGTGGCTCTGGACACGTGAACTTTACCAGCGTCTCCTGACATTTGCAATCTTCTAGCCATGGATACATTTTTTGACCAAATATCGAATTGTCTCCTTTTTATTCCTGATACGTAACATGTCGCAGAACCGGAGTGAATTCCAACTCGAATACTCAACGGAGCATTTGTTTGACCAATCATTTGACTTCAAAATTTCAAGATTAAATAGCAATAAAAATCAAGTAATAAAAAAGATGATAACTTATAAATATGTGATGGTACTTAATTAATGTAAACACTAGTTGCACAGAAAATGCTTGCAGCGTGGAGTTATGAACACTTATGTAAACAGTATTCAAACTCGATTGTAATGTAATATATAACAATAAGTAATTTTGAGATATTTATTACACATTATTACATTTTCTGCGACATAATTTAAACAAAATTATAATAAATTTCTGTGGTACCTATAGGTAATAAAATGAAAATAGCACCATAAAGACGGAAACTAGATTTTGAAAATAATGCATTGTTGTTGTTAAGGTTGTTTACATACAACTTATTCAATAAAATTTTTAATAAATTAAATTAATTTTAATTACTAAATTACTTTCATTAATAGCCAATTCAATATTACTTCATATCAATTGTCATTAGTAAACAAAACTACTAAATAGATAAATATACTAAATAGATAAGTATATTTAAACTTAAGCTAATAATGTGCTACTTATATATATATATATATATATATATATATATATATATATATATATAATTTCCAATTAGCTTACCAAATTGCTTCTATCAAATCAAGTCCAAGCTCTACACAGCAACGAGCATGGTCAGATCTCATTTCATTGATTCCAGAAACACAAAAATAGCAATCGCCTAATAACTTTATTCGTAAACAGTGGTTCTCCTATTCAAGCATTTAGAAAAATGTGCTTTTATTATTTTGTTATTTCGATATTGTACTATATAATTGCATATATAATCCAGTCATTCTAGCTTAAATTAGGTAATAATCTCGGAATTCGAATCTCGGAGATACCCAGTTGTATGTCTGTAAATACTTGTATATTGACACCCTAAAGTTGTCTCAAAACCTACATAACTTTAGGGTATCGATATACAAGTATTTACAGACTTACAGCTGGGTATCTCGAATTCCGAGATGAATTTACTATAATGACTGGACTATAAAAGAAAAGGTATAAATATGCGAAATATGATTTAAGTAAACTATATATCAGTTTGATTGAATAATAAAAAGTTGAATTACTCACGTTTGATAAGTGATCAAATCTACCAAACAATTCATTCATTATGCGAACAAGTTCTAGTGGACCGCATTGTGCACTTAATTGGGTGAAACCAACAATATCAGCAAATAGAAAACTGAAATTATATAAACTATTATTATCATAATAATTATTTCTAAACACAAACTATAATTTAATGAAAACTATATAAACACTTCCAACTTTCCACCCTAAATTATATTCAATATAGAACAAAAATTAGTTCAGTTTTTGTTATATATAGTATCTATTCAAATTTTAAACCATTATTGATAGCCATAGAGTAATCACAAATTTAAATTAAAAACGACCTTAGATCGTTTCTCATATTTTTTTAGCGTAGTTAATTCCAAGACAGTCTCAAACGCTCTGGTTACTTTGTAAAATTATAAAGAAACTAAATTTAGAAAGCCATTATACGATACGAAAATTTAAATACACATATTCGTGTTCAGCGCCCATTAACGATGAAGTCTTTCCTAAAATGCTACTTCCACCAAAATGTTTCTTAATAATCACAACCATTTTCAACTCCATTTTTCAATTTAACTACTGGCCATATGTTTGGAAGAATGCAGAAATCAAAATGATTCCAAAACCAAACAAAGGTTCATTTGACGTAAAATCTTATCAACCTATAAGTCTTCTTCCATCCCTATCAAAAGTATTAGAAAGACTTATTTTACAAAGACTATTAGAAGACCATCCCAAAGAAACCTCGATACCTAACCACCAATTTGGTTTCAGAAGACATCATTCAACAATTCAGCAATGCAACAGAACAACCATCTCAATCGTCAGAATTAAAGAAAACATTTCCAAAATACTTCACAATTTTGGAATCATACTTATCTAACAGAACTTTTCAAATTAAAGAAAACGAAGAACTCTCCTCTCTAAAACCAATTCATTCCGGTGTTCCGCAAGGTAGTGCTCTCAGTCCAATATTATATCTGCTATTCACGAGTGATATGCCACTCGATCCGGCCTTAACAATAAGCACATATGCTGATGACATTGCCATTACCTCAAGTCATAAGGATGTGATAACAGCTACTTTTTTACTTCAAAATAATCTGGCAAAGACATAACTATGGCTAGATAAATGGGACATAAAAACTAACGTTCAGAAATCTCAACACCTCATCATTTCACTGAAAAGCCACACAAAACCTGCTTTGTATTTGAATAAGACAATTATATCAAACCAAGAATCCGTGAAATACCTAGAAATACATATAGATTGTAAACTAAATTGGAAAATGCATATTTCAATAAAAAAATAAACAAATAGATTTAAAACTGAAAGAAATAAACTGGCTGAAATAGATGAACAAGTATAAACCACGTGAAGTAAAACCACATCATAAATGAACAAGTGTAAGCCCTATAAAGTAGAACCACCAGTAAGTTATTGTAATCGTCCAAAAATCGAAATTGAAAATTCTTGCATTTCTCGACGTTTCGAAGGTTTCTGAACATTTTGGCATACCTCAGAAAAAATGGTTGTGTGTGTGTGTTTTGTGTGTCCGCATTTTTTTCGTTCACGTTTTCGGGCGCACGGATCAACCGATTTGAATGGTTCAAAAAACATTCGATTCCTATTGACAGGGAGATGTGCTGAATAGTTTTTGGCAAAGGCAGGTCCAGCAGGTACGGAGATAAAGAGCAAAGAGTGCAGAAAATATAAATCGAGTTTTTGAGATAATGAAGCATCCGATTTGAATGATCTAAAAAATATTCAATTAGTAATGATAGGGAGAAGTGGTTATTGGTTTTTGGCAAGGGCAGGCCCAGCCATTTCGAAGATACAGAGCTAAATGTGCAAAAAATGTCAGTTTCTGAGAGAACTAAGGGTACGATTTGAATGATTCAGACCTTGATTAAACCTTCTGCTTGTTTTAACAAAATAATTGATTTTGGAAAAAAAAATTGTTTCAAATTTTTTTTTCAATTTTTTTTTCAAAAAAATTTTTTGTATATCGAAAATAATTCAGATTTTATTTTTAATTCTGACTAAAGTTCTATTATACTTTAAACAAATAATTTCAATTTTGCAATTCAGTTTATATAATTCTTATAAATATTTAACGATATTACAGAATTTATGATAATCTGTTTAAAAACATTTAATATTCCTCGAACATTTCGCAACGGTACGGGAAGTTCGAGCAATTTGCCTTAAGGGGTTAGGGGTACTTGCAGGCAGGAAAAAATGAGTGTTTTCAGTATTTTTTTTTTGTTATTAAACGATGTTTTTCTACAAAAATATTAATACAGCATTATTATACTATGTTTTGACTTGATGTAACAAAAATTTCAGAAAAAAAAATCAATATTCCCAAAGTTACAGCCGTTTTTGTTGACCCTGTTTCGAAAAACGGCCCTGGCGGTGACCATCATAACTCCTTAGAGATTCATCTAAAATCAATCAAATTAAAAAAATAGTTTTATGAATAGTTAATTCCGGGCCGGATCGAAGGTTTTCTTTTTTTTGCAAAAATTAACAAAATGGCAGCATCAGAAAGAAAAAATCTAGATTTTTGGGTAAAAATCAACAGTTAATTGGTCTTAAAAAATTCAAATTTTTGAAAAAATAAAAATCCTTCGATCAGGCACGAGTTTATTATGTATTCTAATAGCTGTATGAATTTCATTAAAATTTACTAAGTGGTTTTCGAGTTACAGTGGTCACCGTTTCAAAAAACATAGTTTTGAGAAAAACGCGTTTAAAGTTTCACATTGGATTTACGTACAGAAATTCGAATTATTGAATTACTTAAACCAAGCCGTCTATATCTGGGCCATATAATAGTTTATCAGTCATTGTGCAAGTTTCCAAAATTTCCATTTGCTGTTGCCTACAAAGCATTCTGGCCTCCTGAGTGTTCTCGTTGGCGCGCTGATCTGCCACTTTCACACGTGCAGCATCCAATTTTTCAGCATACCAATGGGAATTATACCCACAATTAGGTTCTAAGGTATCCATAATCAATAATAATAATTATGTATATGCATTCAGCAATTTGTACGATAGTAAAACTAGTATTCACGGTTTCTAGGTATATTTTTTACACTAGTTGGTTGAAGCTTTTAATTTTTTCTGATTATGGATTTAATCTTGAACCAAAACATCTTGAAAGTAAATTATCATTGCTGAGATCGTTGTAAATCGGTTTGAAAGCTTTTAAAACATCAGGAGGTGAGGGAGAATGATCTTGAGTATAAGTATCGAGCTCTCCACTTGCGTCAACGCGCTGGTAAGTGTCCAATAACTCAAAAAGTAATCATCGGATCAACTTGAAATTTTCAGAGAATATTTTCAAGATCTTACCCTTAATGAAAATGCAAAAAAAGAAAAATCGATTTTTCAAAAATCCCAAGTACCCCTAACCCCTTAAAGCACGATGCCATGCGCCCCACTATTTAAAATTAATGTTAGACGATTTTACTTTGTATAACGATAGAGTACTTGGTCTTAATGAGCATACTAAACAATTAAAGTCCTACAAAAAACTGGCTCAATTATAAAAATTATTGATTTTTGAAAATTTGCTTTTAAATAAAAAATACTCCAACCGGTAAATCCACTTCGAATACTTTTAACTACTCATAAATTAATTTATATTTTATTGATTAAGTCGATTATTTACACAAATCGGGAAGTTCATGTAACTTGCCTCAAGGCAAAATACCAATACCAACTAGTTGATTATTGTTTTCATTATTAAGAGGCACACCTAGTATGACAACCTAAAAAAGGTCATTTATGAAAATTAAAAGAACAAAAGAACTAGTGAATACACCTATTTGAAATTTTGAGGGTATCTTTATACATGTTTTGAGAATACACAGTAATTTTTTAAATAAAATATTAAATATTTTTGAAATGACACGCAATCTTCGGCGGCGCCATAAAAGAGGTCCTCCACTGCTGGAGTGATTGCAGCCTTCTCCGTTGATAAAACATAATAAAAAAAAATCTCGTTAAACTAGAACATATTGTCTGTATAATGACCCTCGGGCGAACAAAAAAATCAAAAATTGATAAAATGGCGGCATCTTGAAAAAAAAATTAATTGCCTGCCAAAATTCGATTTTTGTTCCGATCAAAAAACTGGAGGGTCATCGTATGGAAAACTATATAGAGGAGACGCAAAAAAAATTGATAGCGATCGGATCATTTGTCTCAGAGTAATCATTCCAGCAAATTCGAAAAGTGCTGTTTCGAGAAAACGCGTTTAAAGATAAAATGATCGTTATACTATATACTCTATATACTATTTTAAATTGTTGTAACTCAAAAACTATTTGAGATATCGATTTAAAATTTTATTATGTTATTTTTAAAGGTATAACCTTTCGAAATATGGAAAAATTCAAAATTCGATTTTTTGAAAATTTCACACTAGGTGTGTGTCCCTTAATACTATTATTTTTATTATTATTTTTTCTTTTAGATAAAATTACGATAAAAATGATAAAAGAACTGCCAGAAAAGGGATTTAGATTATTAACAATAATATTCAATTCAATTCTTAGATTAAAAGTGTTCCCTCAAACTTGGAAAGTAGCTAAAATAATTCTTATACGTAAACCTGGGAAAGATCCTCATTTACTGTCTTCCTATAGACCAATAAGCCTACCTTCTTGTATTTCGAAGATATTTGAAAAATTATTACTCCAACGCATTAAGTCAGAATTGTTGAATCAAAACCTAATTCCAAATCACCAATTCGGCTTTAGAGAACAACACTCAACAATAGAACAGGTTCATCGCCTAGTAAATATAATTAACGAATCGTTCCATGCAAGCAAATATTGTTCGGCTGTATTTTTAGACGTTGCGCAAGCATTTGACAAAGTATGGCACACTGGTTTGTTGTACAAACTAATACGCTGTTTATCAGAACCGATATTTTCAATAATAAAATCGTTCCTTGAAAATAGGGAATTTTTCGTCAGCATTAACAACGAGGAGTCGACCAAAAGAAAGATCCTCTCTGGGGTGCCCTAGGGAAGCGTCCTTTCTCCAACTCTATTTCTTATATTCACAGCGGATTTTCCTTTATACTCCGGAACAAGCGTGTCGACATT